TTGGCCACCGTAACGACGAAGGGCTAACGCTCGAAACGTCAGCTTTTGTAATCGTTACGGTGGCCAATTTACCATTTCAACTTTGTTGATATATCCAAATTATTTCGTTACTCCCACCGACGCAGCCCCAAACAGTTTCTTTCGAAACTATCAGCCTTTATTCATTTTTAATTTTTTTAAAAGTAGATTAAAGGTAAAGGCAGAATATTGGTAGAGATAAAAAGTGGAACAGCGCGAACATTAAACTTAGAAAAATTCATCAAGCGGACTACCCGTTTTTATTTTGTTTAGGTGCGTTTTGGCTGTCTGTCCCTAGGAAGTAAGGCCATAGGAGATATATGGAAAAATAAGAGATCTATATATATATATCTTATTAACCAAGCGCGAGGGCCGTACTGGGAGANCACGTTTCACCCTCACAACCACTCAGTTAAATCCATCATTCTTAAAAACTTTAAATTACTTCAAAACGATCCAGAGACAAGCACTATCTTTTCGCAGCCTCCGCTCATTTCATTCAAACGCGACAAAAACATAGGCAATTTTTTGGTCAGAAGTTCTTTTCAGACTAATGACCAACCAGGCACTTTTAAATGCGCTCGTGCACGATGCAAAACGTGTCCTTTCATTCACAACACTGAGAAAATATCGGGACCCAAACGATCCATTAAGATCACCGATCACTTCACGTGCACCTCCGCCAATGTAATCTATTGCATAACTTGCACTTATTGCAAAAAGATTTACATCGGCGAAACAGGCAGAAGACTAGGTGACCGATTCCGAGAACACCTTCGCGACGTGGAGAGGAATGACAAGGACACATCGAAACCAGTCGCTAGACATTTTAATTTACCTAACCATTCTAAGCAACACATGGCAATCTGCGGTCTTTCCTTACACTTAGGTAGCACGGAAAGCCGGAAAACTCTTGAACAAAAGCTCATCTTTCAAACCGGCAGTCTAAATCCCACAGGTATCAACGAACGCTTTTCATTCCACTAATTTATTCGTGTTTTTCTCGTTGCCATATTCCCACCAATCACGTAGCTCCTTTTTCTGCCTTTAAAAGCACACACAACCCACAATTCTCCTATTCGCTCCGACGAAGGGCTAACGCTCGAAATGTCAGCCTTTATAATCGTAACGGTGGCCAATTTACCATTTCAACTTTGTTGATATATTCAAATTATTTCGTTACCCACACCGACGCAGCCCCAAACAGTTTCTTTAGAAACTATCAGCCTTCGGACTAAAGTGTCCGTTTTCTCGACATCTTCAAAGGGCCAGTTGAATTCCTAAAATTTGATAGTTTGAATAAAAGCAGACGAAACACTAATTATGACAAGCCATATGTTCCATGACGCATCACTTCCAACAAAATAAAAATCTCGCGGATATTCAAATTTAACGTTTGAAGAAGAAAGCGCTGAGAGAGCGAAGTAGCTTGTGCTTGCTTAACGAAGGTCAAGGTTGATTCCAGTTGATATAATTACGAGGCAGTGTGTTTTTGAGCTTTCTGTGTTTGCAATAGACTAAAGCTTAGCATCCTGGGGTTGAAGTAAAATGGTTTACTCACAAGTTTTCTACTCTCTTCATCGAAGTAGGGAATACTAATTTAACCTTAACTCATTCCATGAATTCGTTTCCGTTTCCAGTTTGAACATGAGTTTCTTCTGACTGCTGATTTCCTAGTTAGGGTTCGAAAAAAAAAAGATATGATCATCTAGACAAGAATGATAGAATCAGGCTCGAGTGTTGCCTTTCTTTCATTCTGATAAGAATAAAGTTTAAACTTGAAACAACATTTGCATCTGCATTTGCAATGTCTCCAAAAGTGGCGATATCCCATCTTGTCTGAGATGTCGAAAAGTTCAAACAGTATGATATCTGCTGGCATCATATTTATGATAAATTTTCAATGAAAAATCAGTTAAATGAATGTCGTTTAGGCGTAGAGGAGTCTTTCCAATGTTTTATATCAGAGTCCGTTCAGCAGGTTTTCTGTCGTCCACTGTAATCACTCGCGACTGAAAGTGTAAATTCACTATTCGACTTTTAAAAGAATCCCGTGCCTACTTACTTTTGGTACTTCTCCAAAATTACCAACTTACTAAATTGGTTACCTGCTTACCTTCCCACTCATTGTCGTATACAGTACAACCCGCAAACTTATTGTTCCCATGGGGAACAACCATAAATGTTTCAAGTTATCAGGGAGGTCGACTTCAGTTTCCATAATGACAGCTTCTTTGCCACTGAAGCTTTGGGATATTTTAAGGTTGTAGGCTTGGTATGTTGTTACTGTGTAATATCACAGTTTAAGATTAAAGAGACTGTTAACTAAACTGAATGTTCTTTGCCGACTACTTTTCAGAAAAGCCGATTAAGCCGAAATTTTACCAAGAAAAGATTCTAGCACGGTTTTCTACAAACTGGTTCAAGACAGAGATCCCCATGGAAAAATACTCTGTGAAAAATATTAAAGACGTCCGAGCGAAAGGGTTTAGTAACTTAAGGCTTCGATGCAGGGCTGATTTGTACTCATACGACTACTCTGCTGTCAACTTCACATGGTTTCTTTGGCAACCTGACGACCGTCGTCGACCATTGTCTGAAACACGAGGTGATTCCAATCATCTCCTGGGTTCACCACAAGGCAGAGGCCTACGCTATGGAAGATGATTTTGAAACGTACGTGAATTGGTGGAAAGCGGTGGCACGGGAGTTAAAAGACAAAGACTACAGGCTAAGTTTTAATCTTTTTATAGAGCCAGGAATAAACACTTGTAAAGAAGACAACAAAAGATGTGACGAGAGCCTCCGTAGAAATACCGACAAATACAACCGATGGACCTTGAACGTGACACGTGAAATCCGCTGAAATACAGGTGGCAAGAATGCTAAGCGAATTCTTATTCTGGGGTCGCCAGGAAAAAGCGCCAAGGACTTACATAAAATAGATACAAAGATTTATAAAGATGATTCATACAGGATGGCAGAGTGGCACATTTATGCTTCAGGGCCAAACAAAGTGCCTGGTTTGCAGAAGTACCGGAGCGGAAAAGATGATTCTAAAGGCAAAAATAATGTAAAAACGGCAATTGAATTTCACGAATTTCACGAACAATACTGATCTGTTGACCTATCTAGGTGCGTGGATGCCTATGGATCTTGCTAACGGAAACATAACGGAAAGAGAAGCCATAAGCTTTGCTCGTTTCTTTGTCAAGAGGCTGGGTAAACAGGAGACACAATGGAGTATGAACGTTCTGGATCGCTTCTATGACACTAAAAATAGTACATGGTTGACAGTTATCCAGGTTCTTCAAGGGCAGAAACTAAATATGACCAATATTTTGGAAAATATTCGTGCAGTAATGCCCAAAGCTCCAGCAAAGAAAAAGACAAATTAAAATCAAATACCGTCGGGACACATAATGTAACTGGGATAGTTAATACAACTTTAGAATCGAAGACTTATTATTACTAATAGGCAAGCTTAAACTGTTTCAATCATTGTGTTTTTGGACTGATATTTCCATAATTTTAATCATGCAGATAAGCTAAAATGATTAGACTTATCTGATCCGGCACAGGAAAGTAAGGTATAATGTAATTTTTTAAAAAAGGTACTTTAAGAAACTCTCGGCGGCTTAAATATTTGCGATTGGACTGTGACTTGTTTGGGTTGCAAAACTTTGGTTTATTCTCTTGTGATTAGGATATTTTGTGATATTTTTGTTCTTTTTTGGAGAAAGTAAATGAACTAATTGATCTTAGAATTTTTACCAATTTTTGACCGGCTGATTGTTTTTAAGTTGTTTTCTTGCGATAAAACGAGAAATTGTAAGCCCATTTTTCCGCTGAGGTACCGCAATAAATGCTGCAAAAGTAGAACTGATGTAGTCCTTTTTCGCTCTGTCGGGATGAGAGAGAGTTGGGATATATTTATAAGTGCAAACCCTCTTTCATCATCATGTTATCTGCAGGCTTTAGGAAAGTTCCCAGTGAGGATAGTAGAACGAGCTAAGGTGTTTGCCTTTTCTCAGGGTTTATTACAAATTACTTAAAGAGACGGTGAGAGGCGCCTTTCTCGATTTTGAATCAAATGCATAAAATTAGTTTGTCTCTACAAAGATACACGCGGATCCTTCATAATCTGCCTTATGATTAAATTTTAGGAAAACCATTTTTCATGGAATGAAAAATAATCGTCTTGTTGGCCTTGATAGTGCGCCTATAGCTTCCATATACCTTTAAAGGCGCTCCCTTTCAGAAAACTTTCTTATTTTTCCTGATCTTGCTTTGCCTGGCTGTGACTGGTCTGGTGTTTAACTACTCGTCGCCATGGTGACAAGGAAATTCCAGCGAAGCCAATAGGATCAAGAACAAGTTCCTTTTTGTTTTGCCTGTTTTGTTATGTTTTTTTTTTTTTTTTTCTGTCTTGGTCTAAAAATAACTTTGATGTTCTGGTATAATATTTCGTCAACGTAACGCCTCACTAAGTTTATAACTGACAAATATCTCAAATCTACAGACTCAATGGGTTGTTGTTTCGTAATAAAATTAAAGGTTTTGCTTATTCACGTAATGATGAGTCAGAATACCTCAACCTCATGCACCTCCAACTAGTAGGCTATGAAGACATCCTGCATCAAAACATCAAGCTTTGTAAAAAAGCCCTTAAAAGTGTGAGAACCTTTAATCACGAGAAGATGGAATTTTTTTATTGTCAAAATGGACAAAAAAGGTTTGTCGCAAGTTCTCATCTCCATTTAGAGGGTCAGAAAGATAAAGGTGATGAATGCCTTTTTTTTTTCGGTTGATCTATTAAAATCAGTCGATTGATTTGTAAATTATTCCACAAACAGTCATATTTTCCCTAAAAGCAACAAATGACTTAGGAAAGAATTTAGAAATAATGTCTATTTTAAGCGCCCAGAAATCACCTCCACCACGCTTATTTACGCAGACAAAGATTGTGTCAGTACCTCTTTTAAAATGATTTATTACGATTTTTCAGCAGTTTGCATCACTCCTTGACTGAAGTTTTCATATAGAACTGTAATATTCCCTGTACACGTTTAAAACTACTCTTACTTATTTCTTCTTTGTGACCCGAATAGCATGAAAACAGTTGTCTACAATCATTGGTTGACACGATTTAGGCTTACTTAATAACCTCGTATTATAGGTGAGGCATATAAGGCAATCCTCGACTACACCCAAAGTTATGAAAACTCATGATCACTCAAGTATTCTGATGTAAAATTAACTTATAAACATCCTTATGGCATTACTTTAATAATATTGTTCAAAATCTTAGCCATCTTTAATGGCTGACCTTTGATTACTTGAATCTCTGTCCGCCATTTGCTCTCCTTGGTGTTGTACTAGTTGTCCAGAACGTTCAGGGACCATGGTATGTTCTTCTTACGCAGCTCCTCAACAAAGAAACGGGAAAATTTGATGGCTTCTGTTTCTGTTATGTTTCCCTTTGTGTTGTCTTGAGGCATCCACGCGCCAAGGTAAGTCAGCAGGCCAGTCTTCTTCGAGAACGTCGTTGCATAGCTGATTGCTTCTTCGACATTTGCTTGGCCTCCAGATTTACCATCTCCACTCCAGAACTTCTGGGAATCCTTCACTTTGTTGGGCCCTGAAGCATAAAGATGCCATTCAGCCATCATGTACGGATCATTTTTATAAATTTCAGGATCGATATCAGGTAAATCCTTGGCAGTTTTTCCTGGCGACGCCAGAATTAATATTCGCTTAGCGTTTTTGCCACCCGTACCTCGGATTGCTTTTGTTACATCTTTTGTCCACTGGTTATATTTGTCTGTTCTTACGCGAAGACTTTCGTCACAACTTTTCCCTTCCTCTTTACAAGTGTCTATTCCAAGTTCTGTAAAGAGATTAAAACTCAGTCTGTAGTCCCTGTCTTTTAGCTGCTGTGCCACTGCTGTCCACCAGGCAACATAGGCGTCATGGTCCTTCTTTGTAGCGTAGGCTTCTGCGCGATGGTGAATCCAGGAGATGATTGGAATCACATTGTGTTTCAGGGAATGGTCGACAACGGTCGTCAGAAAGCCAAGAAACCGTTTGAATTTGACGGCGGAGTAGTCGTATGAGTAGAGATCTGCTCTACATCGAATTCGTAAGTTACTAAACCCTCTGTCGTGGACGTCTTTAATGTTCTGCTCAGAGTACTTATTCATTGGTTTCTCTGTCTTAAACCAGTTTGTGGAAAAACCTGCTCGAATCTGACTTTGATACTTTTTAGGCGAAATTGGCCCATCTGCCAAAAAAATTTTCGTAAACATTAGAATTAAATAGAAATTGTAGTTTTCTTGTCTTTGTTTTTTCACTTGCGCATCAGTTTATTTTATTGCATGCTCGAGTATGCACACAATATCATTTCTTTTTAAAGAAACTGCTTCTATTTTCTCTTTCTAGCGGAAGTAAACCCTGATTCTCGCTTATACAAGTCAGATTGTGGACAATGCAAACGGATTGAACCAAGTTTTTTTTTGTTTTGTTTCTCGATAAAACCACATTTAGTGTAGCCTGAATAACAGAAAGTGGCAAAATCGTTCAGACCCACCTTTTCCACCAGCTGCAGACATCATAAACAGCACGGAATACGAAAGCAAAACAAGGAATCGGGACATGTCTTTCTCTGTGAGTTCTTTCGATAAGTTACAAGAAAAGAAACTATCTAAATAACAAGTAAAGGGAATTAGATTGATTAGTAATTGTCTAATTTCCACGGAGGGAGGAAAGTTTTATAAATCTTAGGCTTTCGTAAGTACTGAACCTTTTCGACGAAGATTCACTTTTTGAGAAACGATACGATATATTAGGAAAATAGTAAGGCTTGTTAAGGCACAAATATATTCTAGCTATACAAACGATGTTTTTGAAAATGCTGATCCGAGCAGTATGCAAGACGTTTGTCACATATGAACCCACACTGGAGTAATGGATTGGCTCACCATAATGCTCTCTAACTCAGACCATCAGAACACGAAGCCCGAATGTTGAGCCAAAATCATCAACAACTTTCTTTGAAAATGCATAAGTTTAACTAGTACCATGCAAAAAGGCAACAAACTATCAAGATGGCTTTTGAAAAACTCCTCGTTTAAAGGGAGCAATTACCTTACAGAAATGTGCAGTATCTTCTACATAGGCGTCCGTTTGACGGTAAGGGTAAAACACTGCTTTACTCATGGTACGACTTAATGGCCTACTTTATATTGATACCGGTGGACCAAAATTTAATTAAGATCTATTATGAATGAAGCGCAAGTAAACAGCGGTTTTGTCAACGCTTGAGAAAATTTTTGTGTATACTCAGTTGCTCGATAACAAATCCGGTAACAACCACATGCAAAACTTATATTGTCTCATTCAAAATAAACTGAATTCTTGGGTATAAATACTTTACAATTACTACACTAGGGTTTTTTTTCCTATCACATTTCACACATGGCTCGCACACATGTCGCTTTATTCGTAACAGTGGTGATTCTGCATATCTGAAAGGTCAACACTTTTTGCTTACCCTTATGCTTATGGGCGTTTCCTGCAGTGGTAAAGGCCATCCGTTCTATCTATTCCATTCAGGCCAAATAAACGCTTTACCGTTATTTCCTGTGATCTATTCATATAGCCTAGCGAGGAGTTTGCACGACTCATAAAAAAAATATTAACATTGCATTGAAAAATTTTCCGATGAAGTTTAAAGCAGGTATTGTGCGGCTTGGGAAACTCTTGCGTTAGTTCAGTTGCACGGCAGAAAAGATAAACTATGTATTGAGAGAGGATTAAGCATTTGTCAAAGGAGGGTCAACATGAGTATTGTAACACTTGGGAAATTTTTGCTCTGGCTCAGTTGCACAACAACCAAAAATTCAGTCATTAAAAGAAGGAATTATACATTTAGTTAAGTAACCATCAACGCAAGTATTCCAAGGCATGGGAAAACTGTTGCATTGTCTGAGTTGCAAAACTTGTGATTTTAAGGTGGCTCGTACCGGTTTTGGTCTTTTTGATGGTTTGTAACTTTGAAAGAATACAACAGAAAGACTGACCAAGGCCAGTTGAACAATTTTATGGGGTTGAAATTTATAATCATTGGTTATCCAAAAATAGGTGTCATTTCGTCACTTGCATGGCAACGCTTTCATAGGCTTATTCAGACGCATTTTTTAGCTTGTGGCTTAAATTATTCGAAAACTAACCCGGTGACCCCATGATTTTTTTCAGTGATTGCTTTTGACACTTGAAAAGGAAACTGCACAAAGATTTTTAAAAAATTCTACGGAGGGGAATTTCAGAAAATCTAGAAAAAATGCAATTTTCAGACATCACAAATTTCCTTCCGTAGAATTTTCTAGTTTTTTTCTGATGATTCCTTTCGACGTTTTTATCATATTGGAACAATAAAAAGAAGGGGTCACCGGACTTGTTTGCATGCAATAGCTTTCGTGAGTTTAGCAATTTCCGCGCGCGTTCTCGCGCATTTAAAAATCTGGATTCTATAAGATCGACATTTGCTC